CTACACAATAAGAACATGTTGGGGTGCTGATTTTGGCTAAATGTTGTGATTTTCCATAATGCACTGTAATACTTCGATAAAAAAAAAAAACAACAAACCCCCCCCCCAAAAAAATAAAAAAATAAATGAAACAGATAGCCTACTCCTATTCTACTACTACTACTACTACATAAAGCATTATTTTTTTATTCCAATTTTTACAGATTGCTTTCTTTGGAGATGATGCAGTTTCCATCAGCTTCAAACGGAAATGCTAATGCCATGCTTCAAAGATTGGAATGTAGTGTTTTTGGGTGTGTCAAAATGGCTAAAACAGCACCTGGACATGAATTGCTGGTGCCTCTATAAATAAATCATTGATGGTCAAGGTGTGTCCAGGTATCATGCAATGCACTTCGTTCTGTTGATCATGCTGACAAAAATACATAATAAACGATAGGAATTTTGGTTGAAGTCAATTTCAATTCCAGGTAACAGTTTTGAAGAAAAGTTCACCGTTGCGTACATTGATGGCATTCCTTACTAGTGGCCTTTAGAATACTGGTATCACTTATAGAAAAATGGAACAGTGATGAAAGAACCGCAAGCATTGTGAGTGATAAAGATGCAGAAAAAATCCAAAAAGTGAGCGTGCGAATTGATTGAACAGTTGAACAGACAGGCAAGCGTAGGAACAGACAGGCAACGCAGCAACACGCAGACAAATGCAGCGATGATCGCTCAATGCATGGTATTACATCACAGCGAGATTCAACAATAAATTATATTATTCTCGATACTGTAACTTTTTTAAAAAGCGAAAATTTGAAATCTGTGAGAATTTGAAACATTGTGATACTTCTTTTTTTCAGTCAAAGAAAAAGAGTAAGAACAAAACAAAAAGTAAAACCTTTTAGAACGACACAAAAAAACAGAATAAAAATACACTACACATTTACGATGGCTGCAATCATAATTTCATTCTTTGGTTCTTTTATTTCTACACCCCTTTATAACACAAACTGGCCACACAAGAATCAACATCAACTACATATGGCGGAGTATCCAGTTCTCTTTAAGTGAACTGTGTTCAAAGGAAATGAGTATTTCTAGAGGAACGACAAGAAATCTCTCCTTATTGAAACTTCAATTCTTATTATTAGTCTTGTTCGCACATTTGATATGTGAATCTGTAAAAAAGAAATATGTTTGCTATCACTACACCCCCCCCCCCCCAACTTCCATTCCATTCCCGAAAAAAAGTAAACAAATTCAATAAGATATCCCTACCTATTTGTATCTATAAAAGAAACAAAGTAATTTCAGCAATTAATGATCACTAGAAATGTAGTACGATTTGAGGCATCTATATAAGGCAGAAATGAAAGAAAACAGTTCTATCATATTTCAAGGAAAGAAGGAGCCGGTTCCCAAAGATGAATACACTTCTAGTCTATAAAGTAAATACATAATTCCATGAACCACATAAAAAGGAAAGACATTATTTCATCAGTAAGACACGTTTTGCATTCTTAAAGATATTATAATCCTGCTTACTTTTATGGTAGGCAGGGTTATGTGAACATCGAATACAAAGCAAAATATGGTCTGAAAAAAAAGTCAGAAATTTCAGATCGAACCAGACACCAAAGATCATCTCCAATATAATATCATCATCACTACCACCCACACCTGCGGAACGAGTCTTTCTTACCCCCCCCCCCTTCTCCTTAGCACTAGTCAGTTTTACAGTGAGCTGTGAACCCTCGGCCCCGAACCATGGTCATATTATGACTCAGACAATTATAATGTATTCATTTTGTATTGCCTCAAATGCTTGTCAATGAAACAAAATTTCATACAATTGATAAAGCTGCTCAGGATCTTTTTTTTTCATTTCTACGTTAGGTTCATGCAAGTTATTGTATCTTGTATTTTGCTTTAAAAATAAATTGTGACTACTAAAGGACAATTTCCTTGGACTGGAAGACTGTGGAAAAGGTACTTAGATTCTTAGAGAACTGTATTCTTAGTCTGACGTTTAAGTTAAGTTCATAATATTATTCTGACTTGCCTACGTAAACCCTGATATGGGCCATGATTTTACCCAAACGTCACTACAATAAAGTACTATAAAAGAAACGGTTTGACATTCAGATAGTCTTTTTCAAATTCTGGCAATTACTTCAGTTGAGTTTCTAAGGTTTCGTCGAACAGAATGAAACCATATTTCACAAAGGTTAGAGAACAAAATCGAAAAATCCCCTCGATCATTTAGAAGCAAGCAGAATAGCGTATTGTTAAGTTGTCTGTGGTATAAGATTTCGTTCATTCTAGTATTTCTTAATTTAGATATTACAGAAGAAAAATCTAAATTGAAGCCCTCAAGAAATGAACAGGAGCAGGCTATACAAACAGGAGAAATGACCGAATGAATCAGTCTTGACATTGATAAACGTGAAGAGCAAGAATTAATTTTAAAATGCTGCAAGTAAAAAAAACAAACTATTGGTAAGATATTGATGGCAAGTCGATCGTTTTGCAGGTGTGAGTTGATCACGACATCAATGTGAGATACAGGGTGGGTGTGAGTTGTTAGTAGCTAGTATCACGTGGAAAGGAACCAAAGCTAGTTAGTATATATAGGAGGATGGAACCGCTACGGGAGAGGAGTACCACGAGCGTTTTGCGGGCATAGGGCGGGGTAAGGTAGGCCGCCTTCAGGTCCGACTCGTCGAAGGGTTTCTAGCGAGAAAAGAATACAACATCCAAGGGTCCTTTTCAAGGATGGGAACATAGGATAATACGCACAGAAATATACAGGGTCAATAAATCATATAGACAAATACCTATACATACAACTTTGCACTTTCACACAGACACACACACACACACACACACACACACACACACACACATACACACATACACACATACACACACACACACACACACACACACACACACGAGCACGTATATTCACACACGAACACGTATACTCACACACAAACATATACACATACATTTACATTTACGCACACATACAAACATAGACACATATACTTGACACATATACACAGATAAATAATCCTCCCTTCCAAACAAATAGCAATATAACTATGATTATATGTTTAAGGAGGAAAGTAAATGACAAGAAACATAGTACACATATTATAATAATATACGCCTTGAGTTTATAGAGCCTATTCTTCATGACTATAACTATACAAATCAACCACAACCCTCCTATCCCCCCCCCCAAAAAAAAAATATTATTAAAAAATGACCCTAAACATCTGAAAGAAAACAAAAACAACAACAAACAACTGAAGCAAACAAATGTAAAATAAAGAAACAAGTAAACAATGGATTTTATAAACCTTGTAACAATGACAGCTGTAACAGTAATTTCACAACGTTTTCGAGTGTTTGAAAGACTTTAAAACAGCATTCTTAAACTGTTCTCTCACGAGTCGTAAGGTGTATTAAATCTTAACTTATTCAACTACACTGTTTTGAAATAATATATTTCAAAATTCAAACGTTTCAAAGCAATAAAATAATCTCAAAGTAGCCCAAAGTTTCAGAAACGTTCACTCGTACACGCAGTAACGACAAAAGCAGCCCCGGGACAAGACAGGGTACACAAGATAGACATTATGCTCAAGAAAAGGGTGGGGGTAGAACTTTCACAAGAAAACAACGCAGCTGAACATGATTATGCGGGCCGCAAGGAACGAAACATGGACCCTAGTGATACAAACATATTGCTGATTATTTATACCAGCCAGAAAAACAAAACAAAACTTTAAAAAAATGAAAATAAATGAAAAACAAAAAACATTTTAAACAGGTTTAACTGCGGAGCAGAACGGTCTCATGGCACATTATGTAGTACTTAGACAACTTAAATTATAAATCGTAGAGAATACACATTCACATCGAGTAGTGCACCCCTTAAACAACTGTGTAATTTAGCCGAAAAGAAAGGGGGTATCACTTCTTTCCAACCAAATACATCCACCTCCCTTTAAACAACTTAAAATAACAAGTAGGCACAGCTATAAATATAGTGCATGTAGGGTACATCGTAGGTTTTTTAAACTGGGTGCAAACAGTCATCAATTAATTAATGAAATAATTTCAAAGTCGTTGAACTATGTAGTTTTCCTTCGAATATTACCTCGGATTTCTTGATTTAAAAAATAAAGAAAACCAAACATATTCTCAAACTGTACGAACATATTTTAAGTACATGTACTCTGCATTTTTTTTCAGCTGCGAAAAAAAGGGGAGAGGGTGTCTGGTGAGGTCAATTTGTTTCGTTTTAATTACAGCCCAATAAAATTGAATCTAGTATAATGCAATCTAATATTACAGTTCCGAAAGAATTGGATCGTTGTCCATGACATATGTCACTTCCTGCCATGGTGATGGCGGCCATATTGAACGTAAATACACCCCTTTGATTTCTTAAAATCTCAAATGCAAAGAAAGAAGTTTTACTTTGTAAGATAGGAATGGAAATGCCAGATCTATCATGAGACAAAAGGGTCACTATTATTTTTACTTGGGTGTTTTCATGGGTGTAACCTTACTAACAGGACTTTAAATTTCATGACATAAAAAGTGTTGGAAACATACCCACCCCCCTTACCCCAACTCGATATAAATACTCATTTACGCTGTCATCTACGAGAAACGACAAACGGGCTATTCTGTTACCCACAAATTATGGACAAACCATCATTGTGCCAAATTTCAAGTCTCCAGGGGAAAAAAAAATTGAGATTTTAGGATTTTCGTAGTGTTCTGTCTATGATAAACACAATTCAGAGAAAATTTGCCGTCAAAATCTACAATACGTACATTACATTCGATTTCTACACATTTCAGGTATACAATAGTGCAAAAACCTTAAAAACGATCTTTTGACTCAATTTTCAACAAAAGGCTCACCAGACTCTTTTAAAGTCTGTTAAAAAGACAGTTGATGATAAAAAGATGCCTCAAATGGAGACAGTACGGCTTGACACACTAAGGCATGGTACAACTCTTTCAAGCTTAAATGACAATGCTGGAGAAAATGATTAATCCTTAAAGGTAGAGCCATTGTTCTAGATCGTAATTCCAACAAAACTGTGAGGTCACAAGAGTCTTGAATATAATTCAACTTGACATACTACTAGTGAAATTTGCTATATAAAAGGCAACAGCACCATAAAAATACACTCTTACTACCTAATCATTTAAATTGACTGTCTGTTCGCAAGCTAGTGTTGTAAGTCACATCCTGTGCTTGCTGAGCACTGCACTCTATAAAACCACCCTCAGATGGACGCCAAATAAACAGACGACCAAGAGAAATCCAGGGAGGTTTTGCATGTTCGTGCTTTTTTGTACGCCCTTATCAGCACAGCTAGATCATTTGGGAAGCTCATGATGCTTCAAACCTGGGATGAGTACTGTACAACATTACAAAAGACAAGACATAGATACTGTAATAAGAAATCTCTTTAAACGGAGATCGAACTCAGACCTTCTGCTATCTAAGGCTGAGAGCGTACACACTACACCACAGACGCCGGTATTCTATGCAGGAACAAAAGTGAGGGATCATCACCATCATCAAGTGCCAGATCTGCGACAGACATCGGCGATCATGGTTCTCCATTCATTCCTTTGCTCGTATGGTCTAAAAAAAAGCTACGTGAGGGATAAAAGCAGATAAAAACGAACATAATCCTTTGCTATCGCTGCGTTATTTCGTGAAAACGGTGGAAGTTTGGTGTTTGATAGGTCTCGTTCTTGATCTTGAAGATTCAACACCATTAAACAATGTGCAGCTTTTCTAAAGGGAAGCGCTTGATACCCCGAGATTACACACGGAAAAACTATAGCATTCTAGGATGGTTCAGAAAAAAGAATTGGACCCCACAAAGATTTGAACTTGGACTACAGCAATGGAAACCACTTTCGTCTCGAACTGACCCCTGATAGGGAAAGGGGTTAGGCTTTTATCTTCTTGCAGGCAAAGGATGCGAGGTCGATATACATACATGAAAGCTATATTTATCGAGTTCCACCGTTGTTTTACTGGCATGCTTCTCGCACTGTCTGGATTGTCCGAGACTGGCCGTAATAGAAGTTGCCAAGCTTCACGTCATAGCCTAATTCATTGTGTTATCGGGGACTTTAAGCATTATTATTTGCAACAACAACAGCATAAGAACTTGACTGCAGAACCAAGAATATCAAAAATTATAATCACAAACGAGACAACAACAACAACCGTAACAGCATATCGTTATTATTTCACTCGCCGACACTTTCAGAAAACTTGAGCTCAGAGTTATAGAGTATGCATGGCGCTGTTTACAGTCATTTTCTGCTTTTTACTCATATTTCATTATTCATTTTGTAGCAAAATGCGCTTTTGCAGGACAAGCAGAGGCTTGAAGAAAACAACTGATAAACATCTGTGGCATGCCAGAGTGAAAGAAGTTCTAGGACTACATGAAAAAAGTACGACGAGGCCAGCAAGATTCAATAGGACTAATAACTACGTTGAAAGAAGTTCAAGACCATAACATATTATAGTACTGGGAAACGTATCGACCCCCTATTTCAAGAAAAAACGCGTTTGCTAATGATTGCTTTTCATATATCACTGGGCTTCAGAAAAAAAAGCCTGTCATGCAAGCGCCATTTCACGTTGAATTTTTGAAGTTTCAAAAGAATGAATGATTATTTTTGTTAATATGATTTAGGCATACGTGCGATGTGTTAGCTATATTAGCCTATGGTGCAACAGACACTGGTTAGAGTCCACAATGGTGTGTTCTTGAAATTAAATCAGGTCGACTGGGGCAATTCTTCAAGTTCTCTGCATACTTTTCTCGGTCTTTTCAGGGACAGACACACATTTCAGAGGTTTTTCTTGTAAAATAATATAACATTACAGTGTTGAAACAAGGTGTTGCACCAGTACCATAACAACCTATATACATCCTGCACGCTTGTATAATACTGAGTTTCGAGACGAATTCAAAGGTACCGTCGTTATTTACACTCGTTATGCTTCAAAAGCTTGCAATAGGTTTGAAATAATAATATACATTTTAGGTTTGAAATAATAATATACATTTTTATCTTCGTGTCTCGCACAAAGTCGCTGAATCATACCACAGTAAAGAGATGACAACACTACACATAGATCACAGTGCTGATTGGACAACAGAAAGTGTAAAGAGTAACGTCATTTAACCCACTTCGTGTTCAGAACCAAAGCGTTTTCGTGCGTAGGTCGAAGAGAGTGGACACCAAATGACTAGATGAAGACCATGGCAAAGGATGTAGAGAATTCGTTAACGACTATCAAGAGAGAAATCAAGCTCACATGCACGCAGACAGAGCCGTCTTAAAAACAAGCGCAGAATCCCCAATAAAATGACCCCCTACTCATTTTGCCTTCCAATCAAAGACGAGAAGGTCCTCAATAAACACTGAGCCCCCCTCCTG